TAGCTCAATTGACTAATTTCCAATCATTTTAAAAAAATTCTTTGGATACAAGCGATATTGGGGGAGGGAAAATTGAACCTTAAACAAGAGTAAATGTTCTTAACTATTTGAGCTACAAGCCCTTTGCAATTTCCAATAAGCTTTAACTTAAGACAAATACATATTAAATGCAACCAAAAGCCATATATTATCAAAATGAAAATATATGGGGGCAATTTCGTCAACCCAACACCTTTGAGCGTAAAAGCTTCTGTCGGCAACGTGCTATGGGGTGGTGGTCTCGCTTATGGGGTCAAATCAATACTTTCTAAGAGGAAATATTTGAATATCAATCTCATTGATATCATCGATTTCATAAGTATCATACCAAATCCCATCAATCGAATTGCTTTTTCGAGAAATACAAGACATCTAAGTTATACAAGCAAAGAGATCTATTGATTGATAAGAAAAAGAAAAAACGCGAACAGTGATTGGATTGATGATAAAATAGAATCCTTGGCCTCGAAGAGTAATTCGATTGATGATAAAGAAAGATAAGTCTTAGTTCAGTTCTCCACATTAACGACAGAAAAAAGGATTGATCAAATTCAATTGAGTCTGGCTCATAGTGAGCATTTATCAAAGAATGACTATGGTTATCAAATGATTGAACAACTGGGAGCAATTTACTTAAGATACTTAGTTGACATTCATAAAAAGTATCTAATGAATTATGAGTTCAATACATCATGTTTAGCAGAAAGACATGCATTCCTTGCTCATTATCAGACAATCACTTATTCACAAATCTCCTATGGGGCTAATAGTTTTCATTTCTCATCTCATGGAAAACCCTTTTCGCTCCGCTTAGCCCTATCCCTCTCTAGGGGTATTTTAGTGATAGGTTCTCTAGGAACTGGATTATCCTATTTGGTCAAATACTTAACGACAAACTCCTATGTAGCTTTTATTACAGTATTTCTAAACAAGTTCCTAGATAACAAGCCCAAGGGTTTTCTCGTTGATGATAGTGACGATATTGATGATAGGGACAATATTGATGATAGTGACGACCGTGACTTTGATAGGGAGCTAGAGCTTCTAACTATGATGAATGCACTAACTATGGATATGATGCCATAAAAAGACCGATTTTATATCACCCTTCAATTTGAATTAGCAAAAGCAATGTCTCCTTGCATAATATGAATTCCACACATTCATGATCTAGATGTGAATGAGTTGAGTTACTTATCCCTCGGTCTATTAGTGAACTATCTCTCCAGGGATTGTGGAAGATGTTCCACTAGAAATATTCTTGTTATTGCTTTGACTCATATTCCCAAAAAAGTGGATCCCGCTCTAATAGCTCTGAATAAATTAAATACATGCATTAAGATATGAAGGCTTCTTATTCCACAACAACGAAAGTATTTTTTCACTCTTTCATACACTAGGGGATTTCACTTGGAAAAGAAAATTTTCCATACTAATGGATTTGGGTCCATAACCATAGGTTCTAATGTAGGAGATCTTGTAGCACTTACCAATAAGGCTCTATCGATTAGTATTACGCAAAAGAAATAAATTATAGACACTAATATAATTAGATATGCTCTTCATAGAGTTGTTCTTTTGATACTTCTTTATCCATCGAGTTAGGATAAAGTTGTTCTTTATCTTTTGAGTTGTTCTGCTGGATCGGTCGTTCAAGACCTTTGGTCTCTACCCTGACTCGATGAAAAAACTAGGATCACTTCTTATGGCTCGAAATTGGCCATTTGGGTTTCGAGTTCTTCAAAAATTAAGATTTGTGATTGAATTTCGGTCCCTAATATGAAATTGGGAGTGTTTCAGATGATATTTTACGCTCAAGGGTTTTAGGTTGACGAAATTGCTTCTTGCAACGTCAAAGAAAGTGACAAAAATACTAACTTGTCCTTGAATTGCTACAGATACGAAACTACAATGGCAAAATTGACGAAATTGAAACAACAGGGTTAAAAGTGGTTGAACTACCAAACTACATGGACCAAAAGTGACTTTTAGCCATTCATAAATAATTGGATTTTTTTTGGACTTTTAAGAAGTTAATACATAGTGGACTATATTTGAAAGAAGGCAAATATATAAGTTTAATATATTTTTTTAATCCCAAGTTCCATTGTGTTTGTTTTTCTCATTGTTTTCTAGCCACAGTGCTTCATGTGTATTTGAATTTGGTTGGAACCCTCTGGTAAGGAGCTTTGTTCTTTTTTTTTTGGGGTGAAAAAAAGTCTAGGAGGAGGGGAGGCTATCCCATAGGGCCATGACATACTAAGGTCTCTTTGAGGACTTACAACGAGAATCTTAGCCCTTTTTTTAGTTTTTATAGATTACCCAACAAGAAGGATTGTCGGCAACAGAACTCAAACTTAGACCTTGCTAGTGAAGAAAACTCTTCTTATCAACTCAACCAACCCTTGTTGGCGCTTTGTTGTTCTTCAATTCTATATAATTGGTCTTGTTATCAATGAATTTCCTTATCTTTTTCCGGAAAAAAAAGAAAAGAAAAAAAGTTATCTCTCCAAAAGCTGTAATCTATAGTTGCGGAATTGGATATATGGACACGGTTCTAAGATCACGCATGGAAGCACAACTTGAAGCTTAGAGCATGGATGGATTTAATGAGTACCAATAGCCTTGTAAAACATATTCAGGTTTTTTCCTCTAGGCTCTAGTTAGCGGATCTGGATCCTCTACTTTAATTTTATCTATCATGATCTGCTTGACTTTTGTCCTCCGCATACCACTTCATTAAAATTTAATTTAAGGGATATAAATTATACACATCATCTTTAAAATAAAAACCAAATTTACTCCTAATCAAAAATGAAAAAAAAGCCCCAACTTGACTAACTTCAACTTAACGTCTCTAACAATTGTTTTTTTTCTTCATTCTTCTTCCTTCTCAGCACGTCCCCTTCCCCCAAAAATCTGAGCGCTCATCCATCTTTTCTTTCACCTGTAAAAAAAATATCTCTTCCCATATATTATCCATTGCAGATGGCGAGGGTGGGTCCAAGAGTGATTCATTTACCATCCATGTGGATTTCATGGTTGATGCTCCTTTCCTTGCGGACTTGGTTACCATACCAAGCAAGCAGCTTGAACCGTGAACCATAGTTCGATGTTTTTTTTTTAATAAGAAAATTTCCTTTCACAAGGCTATATTACATAACACTTACTAATTCCAACATAACTTGTTTTTGCAATGTCAAATGCTAAAATGGCTGTCATACCGAAGTTCTTGTTTATTAAAAAAAAAAGAAAAAGAAGAGCAAATGACAAAAGCTGTGTTATCTAATAATAAACAACTTTTTCATATCTCTGCGCCTGCGAGAGAGTTTATTTTATTTTATTTTAGAATTAAAAATAAGGGAGTTTCACTAAAACATCCAAAATGGAGGTTGAAATTATAAAAAAACCCAACACCCAAAACACTTTATAAACACACCCAAAACCCATCATTACACACGCTCAAAACCCATTTATAAACACACCCAAAAAGTTGACTTTAGGGTTGATTTTGGGTGTGTTTCTATGTTTAAATAGTACTTGGGTTTTTTTATAAATACATGTCTAGGATTGGGTTTATTTATAAATTTGTATAAAAGGAATAATGGTAATTGTGTTCTATAAAAATCGAATATATTATCTGATTTTTCTTTTGATTTTAATTTTTTTTAAATACAAAAAGTGTGAATTTACCCTATTATTCTCATTTAATTAATAATTTCAATTCTTAATGCTTGTATTAACCAAGGGCATTTTCTGGTATTTTGAATGTTTCATCATTCTCTACCTTTTGCTTTATATATATAGATAAATTGAATTCAAAATTTATAAAAGAAACCATTTTTATAAGTTTAGTTATTTACTTCCAATATATCTAAATATAAATAAGTTAAAGACGAAAAAACATCTGAAATATGAAATATGAGGGCAATTTTGGGTACAAAAAAAAACTCATTCTGATCCATCCCTACCCACCCTACCTCCTCCCTCCGGAATTCAATTCCCAGGAATTAGACCCTTGATTTTATGTGGGGCCCGCTTTGCCTTTCTTTCCCATTATGCAAATAAACAAAGGGGTAAGGGGTAATCCGGAATGTGAAGGACTCGCATTCCAGTCCCACCCCACGTATGTTAACATGCCTTTATTGTTGTTTGTACATTGGTCTAGCTGATTGCCTGTTTCAAAGGCTGTTACGCCCCTGCATTAAAGGATCTTGTGTGTTCTGTTATACTTTCTAATTTAGTTTAAATGAGGCTTTCCCATCCATCAAAAGAAAGGGGAAAACAAAAAAGCTAGAGTGAATTCCCCACTCCAATTTTATCCAATTACAATCTATTTTATAACTAAAAAAAAGTAGTGTAAGTAGATAAAATTGATGTGAGGAAATCATTATCCAAAAGGTAATATCAGTAACTACACACTTTTTCGGTATATAAATAATTCTATCAACCAGAAATTACAGAAGTACAGGGCATGTATGTCAGAGAACAGTCAGGATTGGAAACTTCTGTAGACAAAATGTCATCCTAAGCATTATAACAAGCCAACCAAACTGACGCACAATGTAAACAGAATCTTAAAATACCCTTTTGGAGAAAGGAAGAGGGGGGGGGGGGGGGGGGGGGGGGGGGGGGGTGGTGGTGGTGGTGGTGTTCTTCTTGTCTCAATTTCCCACCCAAAAAGTTGCAACAGATATAAAAAAGATAACATCATAATAACACATGAAGGGATTCTTTTGCACAAAATCTTTGATCTAAACAATATGGCAAGAAAAAAGGAGGAGGAAATAAAGGCATGATGGTCATTCAAGTTCTGCACATAATGCAATGGAATATATTACCTGTCTCCAAATGCTCACTATTTTACTTTCATTTGAACTACAAGGCAAATATAAACCAAGGGGATATGTTCAAAGTCACTATTTTTCTACATGATGTATAAAAACAGATAAAAAAATCAATGGAAAAACAATAACAAAATATCCACCTTAAATGCGTCATTGGAATGTATTCCAGAGCCTAATAGTATTATTGCACAACAAAGAGTGAAGTTCTTTCATCATTAGCTGCCCCATCCGTGAGCATGACCACAAACCCGGAAGTCATGAATCATAACGGACTTATCTTTTTCGCTCTACACCTTCCAGTAGAGAATTCTAACATTTGCAATTCAATATACTATATGTAATCATGTTTCTACTAATTTCTTGCAGGGGCACAAAACCAATCACTGTCTCACTTCTCCTACCTGTGGCCCTGGCAGATACTGGTTACTTAACAATCCTGGCAAACATTCATCTAAGTTTCTGGGTTCTTCAATTGCTTGGGAATTAAATTACCACAACTGAATGTAGTATTTAATGCATAAGATTTTGTAAGAGAGCACCTTAGTGTATCTATATACTCAGTACTCATGATTTTGCAATTGACTTACAATCCAAATTAATCTTCAATCTTAAATCATCATGTTCCTTTGACCTAGCGAGTTGCATTTGTCTTTGCACGACCAGAAAACGTGGAAAGGGCTACTGAATTCTTTAAGAAACAGCATGCAGTATGGAATGTGTAAGCAATACGGAATCAGAGCCCCACCTAAAAACAATCACATGAAAAGCAAAATTATTAAGAAACTGGTGAAAGATCAGTGAATAACTTGAAGTTTCTATAAATGAAAGTAAGAAGACCCTGAGGAGCAAACCCTAGCTGCCGCAGGAACAGCTAGGGGCAAGCTCTAGCTGCACCCTGAACTTGCCTTCATAAGTCAGTTGAATATAATCAGTATCATTTATTGGGGTTGCGAAAAATAGATGCTGATCTCATTAGGAACCTAGAATACCCATCTTTCTGGTTCTTTAAGTTCTACACCATCGAACCATGTTTGATGCATGTGCAGCCAAGTATAAGCATCCGGTACCTCTGACTAGTGAAGCCACAACAGATCATGAGTAAGACAATTACCACATTAAGATCTCTCAACGTTACCAAATTAACAAGGGACATGACTTTAAAAGGAAGGAAACACCCAGCTAAGGTTGTACCTTTGAACTCATCAGGACTGTAGTCAGAGAGCATCGCCGCTCATCATCTGCAACAATCAATCAATGTCTCATCAATACAAATCAGTGAAATAAAGAATTTTTAGTTTAAATGACATAATGACAAAGACAATATCTGTTATCTAAGGGGCATGGGGAATTCAAAAAACAATTCTATCATTCACGAATTTAGTTGCCCCCTTGATGAGAGTCCAATGAGAGGTTTCAAGGAAATGAGCTGAAAAGGAAAATTATTAATCTATTGGGACAGACAAAGGAACTCTGCCTAGCTTCAGAACTAATAGAGCTCATACACAGGTTGAATAGTAAACACTTTTCATTATCTTTTTTCTCTCAGCTTTGATTGATGTTTGGAGATTCGTCCTTTATTCAGATATTTACCTATTGACTAGCCACCATTTTTTTATCTGTTGCAACAATTAGCCACCAGTTAAACTAATAGAATATGTATTACTTTTTCTCCATTCTTTGAATAAATCTACTTATTGTGCCAGAAAGGCAATCTCACCATTCAATTCCCACTTATCAAACTTCACAAGCCATGTGTCTGAGCCAATTTGAGCTGAGGATAATCGATCCACCCATGTCCAAAACTGTTTTCCCTGCTTATCTCCATACGACTTTGCCATTGCATCCATGCACTGGTGGATAGGTAGCTCAACTCCCAAGGGATGGACAAAGATAGCCAATGGGTGCTAAAGAATTGGGGAAAAATAGCAAAACCAAAATGAGAAAGGATGCAATCTACCAAAACACAACTGCAACAGCACCAAAATATTCGGTCAACTTCTACAAAGTACAGAAAGCCCCAAAAAAAAAGAAAGAGAAGAAACGATTAGCACTTCAAGATCTGATAATTCAACCAAATCTCTGAGACTGAAGCCTCGTCAGCTTTAGGTTAAGTCTAAGGGAAGGTGGAGTCGATCATAAGTGGAAGTTCAAATATTGTCTAGAAAAGAAAGTTTTTGGTGTATTCAGAATTGAAAGCTGTTAGGGAAACATAGCAAAATCCTTAACGGTACAAATTTCATTCTCTAAAAGCATAAGTCTTCAATATAAGTTGGCAAGCATAAAATGGTCGTGCAACGATTCCAGTACTAAAGATTTAAATCAAAAACTTTAGAAAAGAAACCATATCCGAACTATCTGCGGTCATTCCCAGTCTAGGGTCAAATTCCTAGCTAATCAACTGCATTCATGGCTACTGGTCTAACCTTTCCTTTTTCACTTTTCGGTTTGGTCATTCATCATTAAACACATTTTTTCACATACATTCATTAATCAGCGCTAAATCTTCAACTCCTGCAGCATCGGGTATTACTACAGCATTGCAACCTTAATTGCACGTGACCAAGACACCCTGAGTATTCAAGGCTAAAAATTTAGGTTGAAAGAATTCAGGTGCTTGGAGAATTAAAAGACCAAATGACACGGCAAGACTGTTTTTAAGTTTTGCATATAGAAGGAGAAAAAACATTAGAAATGACACTTACAAAGACTGATTTCAAGTTTTGAAAATACTGCTCAGATTTCTCCACTTCTGCACGCCGCCATCTCTCATAAAACAAATAGAACTTTACAACCTCATGTGCAGGACTAAAATTCTTCACTTTGCACTTTTGGAAATCTTTGAAATCTCTTGGAGATACATTTGGACCCAGATGAAAATTTCCAATGGCTTGTATTATCCCAGCTGCACATCTCTCTGTTGCATGAAGTATGTTGGGATTTCTGTGTGCATTTTCTGCATACCACTGCAACAATTCTTCTTTTGCATTACTGACCTGCGTGACGTTTGACATCATGACCATACAATTCAAATATTTTCCTTACAAATAATTTAAGAATATTATTATCCAAACAAAACGAAATAGGCAATGTTTATAACTTACAGACCATCACACCATACACTTCAGGAAGACTGAATAGTTCGGCATCATTTCCAGAGTCACCACAAACCAGAGTGTTGTTGGGAAGCTTCCCCTCAAGTTTGAATTTCTTCAACAAATATGCAAGAGCTTGCCCTTTGCCCGCCCCTTTTGGTAAAACGTCCAAAGCAATCCCACTGCTATAAATTATCTTCACATCTAACTGGCCAAATATATATGAAGATCAGAAACAGATATCACTGACATTGAGAAAAGATGCATTCAAGTAGTAAAAGCCAGTCCATTTCTATTGAGGGATCCCTCAAATAATTTATTTGAGGGACACCCTTTAGGGTCCCCTAAGAATTTTTTTTCAACGATTCAAACAATCTATTTTTTAAGTCTAGATCCATAGATCATCCTTGCAAAAAATTAGACAAATCATAAACCATTTCAACATCCAATTGTGTCCTACAAAATCAATGAATACGGTGCTTCAAGAAAATACTAAAATTTAAATATTTCAATTGCATGGTCAAATGATATTGGATTCAAGTGATTTTTTGTAGTGATGATCTTCAAATGAATATCTACAAAATAGCCAATTTGGATAATGAGTAGTATCAGTGAGAAATATAAGAAAAAAATTTCAGTAAGAGTCTGCCAGTAGCACTTCAAAATGAAACTGTCAATGCTCTAGCCATGAGGTTTATAAAGAAAATAAAATGTACTCTTACCCCACGTTTCTCCAACCGTTGTGATAAAACATTCATTATCTCCGATGCCACAGCCTTCTCTACATAAAAGCTAACCTTGTGAGGTCGTTGCTCTCCCTCTTCCTGCAATAATCTCATATATGGGGGCATCAAATTTCGAAATACATACAAGTCTTTACCTTTAACTGGTAAATATAAGAACTAATATCGTGCTCACACTAGTTACAATGTGAGAATCATGACCCTTCTTTGCTTCGATTCAATACATCATATCAGCATGCCACGTTATGTATCTAAACTAGGGGCTACCGAACCGACTAGCTATGGGTTTAGGGTATTTCTCCTTCCAGTGTGGAGGACCAAAGTTAAATTGCCCCCTTAAAAATGGTACCAAATAAAATAATAATAATAATAATAATAACCTTATCAAAGGAAAAGTACCTGTGGAGTAAGTTGAGGAAATTTATTAGTTTCCTCAACAACAACCTCTCTATCCCACTTGTGATTCAGATTTTGCTTCCACCCATTATCAGGAGCCATAGCCTCACCATAACCATACATAATCTCAGTTCCCACAGACATGATTGTTATATCAGGCGTTAGCAATGGTTTCTCATTCCTCAATGGTTTGTAAGTGATTGGTGATCTTCCGGTTGAAAATACCAGCAGAGAATCATGGCGGTAATTTGCTTCCCACAGCGCGTTGAACCTCAGAAGAGAGAGATTTTCAGGCTCATCATGATCCACCTGAAAACAGTATCAGAATCACAAACCCATTTGTTTTTCTCTCTCTTTTTAATTATTGTTATAGGAAATAAAGCATTAGCTAATGAAGGAATGTAAGTGTGAAAATGTACCATGGTGTAATCAAGATCTGAGACTAGCATGAGACGAGCAGAGCCATTGAGACGAGAGTTCATGTGGGTTTGATTGGGTTGGGCGCCTTGGCTCACAGAGTTCTGTATTGTTACACAATTAGACGAGATTCATCGCTTTGTTGGTTGAAATTGAACACATAATCTGTACAGAACCATCTTTGTCAAAAGAGGAAAACATCAAACTTTGTCCTTCCAACTTTTGATAAGGGCTTTTTATCACAAATGGTGCATGATGTTTGTCAAATTATCACTTTTGGTCATTTATGGGTTTTTTTTTTGTTTTCTGATATTATTGGTCATTTATGTTATACCTCACACATCAATTTGATCCCGCTGTCACGTTCCGTCAAAATTTTCAGTTAGATTGCTGATGTGGATTCTATGTGGATTAAACAATGTTTTAAATATTTTGAGTTTTATCACAAACAGTTCTTGAGGTTTGCAAAATTATCACATTTGGAACTTTATATATATATTTTGACATTATTGGTCCTTATGTTACACCTCACACATCAATTTGATCCAACCATGAGATTTTATTAATTTTTTTTTATTAAATTACTAACATGACACATATGTGGTGCACACATAGCCAATGAGAAAATGTCAAGTGGATCTAAATGAAGAAATGTTTATAATAATAATAAAAAAAGTTTAACATTTAAAATCTTTTAAAAATTATTTTTAAAAAGAGAGAAAATTTTCAAAACATACATTTTTTATTCAAATCCACTTGGCATGTTATTAATGGACATGTTTGCTTTACATACATGTCGTGTAAAATCCGTTAGGTTTTGTTGAAAAACCATAAACCCTTTAAAAAATAATTTAACATTTAAAATATTTTGTTTTAAAAAATTTAAAAAAAGAGAAAAGTTTAAAAACATAAATCTTTTTTTTTTCAAATCCACTTGACATGTTATTATTGAACATGTAGGCTCCACATATATGCCACGTCAAATCCGTGAGGTTCTTTTGAAATTTTCATCAATTTAACATAAATTTCAACATAACCTAACATATTTAACGTGACATGTATATAGAGTTTACATGTCCAATAATAACATGTCAAGTGGATTTGAATAATAAAAAAAAACAAATTATGTTTTGAAAATTTTCTCTTTTTTTAATTAAATTTTTTCTAAAATATTTTAAATGTTAAACTATTTTTTTTAAAAAATATAAAGGACCAATAATGTCAACAAAAATAAAAATAAACGACCAAAGGTGATAATTTCACAATTTATAATAAAACCTAAAATGTTTAATCTATTTGGCGTCCATGTCAGCAATCTAAAGAAAATTTTTGATGGAACGTGACGGTGGCACCAAATTGATGTGTGAGGTATAATATAAGGGACCAAGAATGTCAGAAAAAACATAAATGACCAAATGTGATAATTTGGCAAACCTCATGGACCATTTGTGATAATAACCCTTTAATAAATTCAAGTTTAAAGTGTTGCTCCCCTGAATTTCAATTTGCCCTCTGTTGTAAATGATGGATGGCACACATATTGAAAATGAGAAGCAATATTGTGTGAAATACCATGTTTTACGGGAAGTTGAAGATTTATAAGCTTAGTGCCTTAATGGCAGGGGTTCAAAACTCGTTGGAAATACTTTGTAGTCAGGGGCAAGTTGAATCCAAAGCGAGGATTAATTCCACCTTTTGGGTGTGAGGACATCTCGTGGTATTTACCAAAAGAAAAAAGAAGAAGACTTATAGGCTTAGTCACTATTCACAAATAGTAAGAAGCAATTATGAGTTAATGTTTTAGAATGAATGCTTAGTTATGAAGCATATATCATCTGCATATAAATAGAGGCAATCTTCACGCTTTTAAGAGACACCAATCCGAATAGAAAAGAGAGAGAGAAATTTGAGAGTTAGAAAGTTTTATCTAAGTGAGAAAATTCTATCAGTGTAAAACCACACGAGCAAATACAATTCCACCCTAATATTCAGTGGTACTTTCATACTCTGCCTATTTTATGACTTGTTATCAGCACGATAGTTTCTTTTCTTTACCTCTAAATTTTTCCAGCTAAACCCTATGTTGTTATTTCTCTATCTCCTCTTTGTCATATGTCTACTCTCACTTTACTACTACGATGACATGCAAACTTTCTTATTCTCTGTCATATGTCTATTCGTGGTTATTTAATTTATTTTTCGTACTGTAATTTGGAATGGTGCGGTTTTATCCCCCTTCCTATTATTATATGGTGGTGTAGTTCCATTGCCTTTACACAGCTGAAATATGGCCATTTCGTAGCTCTCAAACACCCTCACACAGCCGCTCAGGTGGCTCAACTCTTTATCAAGGAGATTTTTCGTCTTCACGGTCTACCTCACACCATAGTGAGTGACCGTGATCCTACGTTCCTGAGCCAGTTTTGGACAGCCTTCTTTCACTCACAGAGGACCAAGCTTTGCCACAGCTCTGCATATCATCCCCAGTCCAATGGCCAAACTGAGGTCTTGAACCGTACCCTTGAGCATTATTTGCGTTGTTTTGCAGGGGATAAACCCACTAGCTGGTCCACATGGCTCCTATGGGCCGAATAGTGGTATAATACTACATACCATTCTGCCATTCAACCTCATGAAGCCGTCTATGGGAAACCACCTCCAACTATTCAATCTTACATTCCCGGCACTTCCGCAGTTGACGCCGTGAATACTACACTCTAGGACAGGGACACCATTCTTCGCCAACTCCATCTCAACTTGCAAGTAGCTCAACAACGGATGAAACATTTCGCCGATTGACACCGTACTAAACAGGAGTTTCAACTTGGCGACTGGGTTTTTGTCCGCTTACAACCGTATCGTCAGGCGACCATTCGTAGTCCCCAACATCCCGAACTGTCTCCCAGATACTATGGTCCATTTCAGGTGCTTTCTCGGGTGGGTTCGGTAGCCTACAAATTGTTGAGAGTGTTTGTCCCACATTGAAATGTTAAGGGACCTAGCCTGGGTTTATAAGGAGTTGGGCTACTCCCCTCATTGCCAATTGGTTTTGGGGTGGAACCTCAACTTCCTTCATGGTATCAGAGCAAGGCTTCACGTGTTGGGCCCAACGGCCACATGTGCTTCCACGTCACCCAATATGTGTTGTCCACGTGTTAGGCTTGAAAGTTCGCCACACGTGTGGGGGCGTGTTGAGAGTGTTTGTCCCACATTGAAATGTTAAGGGACCTAGCCTGGGTTTATAAGGAGTTGAGCTACTCCCCTCATTGCCAATTGGTTTTGGGGTGGAACCTCAACTTCCTTCACAAATTACAGATGCCTGGCAACTTCAAACTTCATAATATGTTCCATGTATCTTTGCTCAAAAAGAAGGTGGGTGCCCATGTCACTTCGTCTCCCACCCTACCTCCTCTATCCGCTGGGGTAGTTGCCTGGGTGCCAGCTAAGGTGTTGAACAGGGGAATTTTCAAGCGCCATAACAAACTGGTTGCTCGCTAGCTCATTCAGTAGGAGGCCTTCTTGAAGAGGATGCAACCTAGGAAGATGCTTCAGTTCTCCAACAACATTTTCCATCTTTTCAGCCTTGAGGTCATGGCTGTTCTTAAGCAGGTGGGAATGTTAGGACCCAACCCCATTTGGGCCTAATGCTCTTTACAGCCCACTTACTATCACCTTAGTATCACCTAGCTAAATCTCCACAGAATAACAACTTTGGCCTTTCCGCATTTGTAGGAATTTTGTTAGAACCTTTGCTAGATCATAGCCAGCTGCCCACAATCAGGAATTGTATAAACCCTCTTTCTCTTTTGCTTGAGAGGTAGAAATGAAATGAAATGAATTTCCTTTTCTCCCTTTCTCTGGCTTTTCTGTAAGTTTCCTTTTTCGGATCTAAGGTTCTACCAAAGAAGCAGAAAGATATTAAACAAGAGGTGGATCCAAAAAGGGGTAATGAAATCGAAGAGTTGTCATGAAAGCTCCTTGTCGAAGAGTTGTCACTTTGCTTGTTCAAATTCTTCAAAAACCCGTCCTTGAAAATTGCAAAGCGTCTCTCTCTCTCTTCGTTGTTTATGTAGCTACGTTGCATCTCGTTCAGCAATCGCTCAAATTCCTCCGAAATGTTAACATATGTAGGATACAGCCAGAGTCCCTAGTAAGATGATTAATAACAAAGAAGTTAAACTCATTGCTTAATTCAAATTTTCCAAGAACACCATAATTGGGATTTGCTTTTGAAAAGTCTCAAAGTCTAAATGGTAATTGGAATCTCAATTTTACATTTCCTTCAAGACTTTTTGTTTTTTTATACGCTTCTAATTGAATTTGTTTCCAATTGTATTTCTTTCCCAATTTATAGAGATTTAAGTCTTCACAAATACAACTCTTGAAAAAAATAAAGATATTGGAGCACAAGATTTCCAGTACACGGATAACAATAATACTGGGATAACTGCTCTTAAAACCCACTTAAATACAAATGTCAAAAAATGAAAAAAATTAACAGATACAAGGGGCTTGTAGCCGAATCCTAAAGTGGTTAAGAGCATTTATACCTACATTCAAGGTCCTAGATTTTATTCCCCTTTCCAGTATCGCTTGTATAAAAAATAAAAAAAATAAACAGAGAATCTGTTGCATTTTTGGAATTCCAATCATCACAAGAGAAGATAGAAAAGAAATAAAAAAAAGAGGGGTGCACGAGGAGAAAATTAGAGTGTGAAAATGGCTTTGATAGATTTATTGCATTTCCGAATTTTAAAAGAAAACATTTGTTACCTAATCTACTTTCCTAAATATAAAAATAGAACACCTAAATCGATAGTTTCCGTTTCCACTAAGAATATAGATAGCCTGAAAACATGTTATATAAAAGTTGCACTTCAACTACACTAGTACGTTAACTTCTATCTTCACTTCTGTTGCAGACTTGCAGTTAACACACAGCAGCTGATAGCTGGATCCTCAGAGTGGTTCCTTTACATTGACACTTTCAGATACACCTGAATACAACTCAAATGCCAATTCTGAAAAGCACAGAAATATCATGAGCTGAGTGTCCCAGTCAAAGGAACTTCTTCAGGTACATGTGGATCTGTATCTGTCTTGATAGAATTTAGCAGCTGGAGCTTCTTCTGTTCCTGCGCTCTCCTCCTATCAGATTCAAGGATAATGAGGAGGGCGGTGATATCGGCAGGGTTCACCCCACCAACTCTGCTTGCTTGACCAATGGTTTGCGGCCTCACCTGAGAACATGGTATTTCGATTAAACCAAATTTTTCAGACAAAAGCAATATACAACTGCTATAAGATGCATAATGAGAGCAACAGCTTGGTAACAGAGGAAAGATCACTTTCAGAAGCAAGCCTGAGACGAAGCCTGTTACCCGAGTATGACAATGAGGTCACTTTGTTCCAAAGAGAAATGCCCATGGTAGTAAAAGAGTTGGCACAAATGGATAAATAATAAATCAACGGTCAATCTAAGAGTTCAATGCCAAGAGTTAGCTAGACTCAATGTATTTGGTATCAAACAGATCAATCTCTTTTAAGTTTCTCTCTATCTTCTACTTTTTAACCGTTTGTTTTCCTACATCAGTGCATCTCCTTAGTCATCAACAATCATAATTTCTACAGGGCAATTTAATATCATGTAACAGATTCAGTATCATGCTTCCAATTTCCATCCACCAGTCGTTACATTAGGGTGTCTATGTATATACAATGACCCCAAAAAAAGGGAAGAATTTAGAACAGGAATTTGAAACTACAACCATTTTGTCAATAATATAATAAAGAAAATTCATTTCTGCCACATACTGCAGAGTATTAGGCATTTTGGTAAAAGGTTAAGCCATAATGAAATTAGATATTGGGCGCACCTTGGCGAGCTTCTCACGTGCTTCAAGTGATAAAGTTGTTATTGCATAGTAATCTAAATCCTCTGGAAGTCGTCTATGCTGTTGATGGACCATCTATAAGTAGAACACGAGTTGGATAATATGAGAGGATGGATAACAAAATACAAAATCGCTAAGTATCTAAAAATCCTATTTGAGATTATTACAAATACGAAATCAATCAGTGAGTTGCATGATTTAAAGTAGTAATGAAGATTTCTTGAAAACAGATAATATCGCTCACTTGTTGGAGTTGGATCTGCTGCCGCGAAATGAAACCCTCATACTTGATGTCAATCTCCACACATTCCTTTTCTATTCTAGACAACAGTTTACTCCCAAAACCATGCCTATCAAGAACTTTATACTCTATGTGTGGTTTCTTGAGAAGACTCTCCAGAGTAGTAAAGTCCTTCACTGGCTGACTAGAAAGACGAGTAACATCAGCAGCCAATTCCCCTCCTGATAGAAGTACAAAACAATAACTAAAAGTTCCAGTTATATATCCCAAAACCTGCAGATCTCAGTTTATTCAATTTTTTAATACCATACCCAACTTAATGAACTATTTAAACGGGAAAAAAAAAAAAAAAGGAATGAACAATGGTTAAGTGACAAAAAAATGGAGAACAATAACTTTATAAATTAAAACATGATAAAAAGAAGTATACAACAAATGACATGAATACTTTGCAAGAAGCATTCCAAAAGGCAATGAAATTTAGTGGTCACATTTTTATCTATCGCTCCTATAAGAGAAACATGTGGATCAAAATAATGCATTACATATGATGGGCATATTTTCCTATTACTCAATGACAGAATAGACAGGCATTTGATAAAAAACCACTGGAGAAGATTATGTCATGGAGTGAGTTCAATTAACAATAACAAGATTAGGGTTTTAGAAGTTTCAGAAGACTGTCTTAGAGATTCTAATTCAATAACTTCAATAGAACAAGTCAGTCACTTGTACCACAATGCTCCATGAGTTATTTCTCACATCTGAGTTTCTTCCTGTTGTAAATTTTCTCCACAAGTTGCTTGAAAGTTTCAATTTGAACAATATCAACACATAATTTCCAACTTGTGCTTATTTGGTCCCTCCTTTTCCGTTTAAACAATGTCAACACACTGTACTCAAATTTTCACGCTTAGGTACCTCCAAGCAATTCTATTAATCTAGTTGGACAAAAAACGACTTTGGTTGTCTCCAAAATGATCTCAACCTAACATGACCATATTGCTTTTGTGCTCAAATCACAGATTTGAGAACCATGTTCCTGAGCAGTATGCAGTTACTATCCCACCACTTTCTGCTGTAACCTGCAAGCCCTAAGTTTTGGCAAGTTGGGATGCCTATCTTGATAAATATTTCAAGATTTTTGTTTTTGATCTGAAAATATTTCAAAATTGAAAGGGATACATTCAATAAATTTTCTTATACAAATCTCTTTAAATTTATACACCCATAACAGATCATAAGGTGGGATACGGACCACATGATGCTCGCATGAACAGAGAGTGAATTATATGCTTGCCTAGCTACTTGGACTTCAGATCTGAATGAAATTGCATGGATGTTTCTTCCTCCTAGTTAAGACAATTAAATGGAAGGAAAATATTGACATAAACTGAAAACTGCAGGGTTGGCATCATTGTTCATATTGAAACCAAAGAGACAACATCGACTCACAAACCGTAAATCGGATCAAAATTGACTGCAAAATGAGCCCGTTTTCCCATTTAGTAAAAACCCTAAATCCCCTTTTCTAATCCTCCACATTAATTGTGAGAGGAATGAGGTTCTGATAGTTGGGCTGGGGTGAAAGTTCAATAATTCCCTGGTACGTATGCAGCACGTGCGTTCAAATTGACAGAATTAAGGAATTGGAATTGATTTGTTAACGACCGCACGTGAGATGACGAAATTGAGAAAGTTGAAATCATGGTGACCAAAATTGTCTTTGAACCTAACCCCAGTGACCAAAAATACTTTTTTACCCTAAATTGCAAGGTTAACAGTTGAAGTTGAAATCAAGGCCAAATTGAAACTTTCAGTAAACTAGATGTGGAAAACGTACGTTTCCTCTAATAGTTTATTAAAGATGCCAGATTGAACAGAGCAAAGTGCACAACAGTATACAACAATATTAAAGGTGTAAAGAAGCTGCTAAATATAAGAAGCATTAAATAAAGATGATAACCTGAAATTCGGACACTTTTCAATCGCTTCTTTTCTTCTGAAATTCGAGCTTGTTTGTCCTGGTAGAGTTTCCATCGTCTATCATCTATTAACCCAATTTCATGCCCCAATGGTGTGAGACGGCTATCAGCATTGTCAGATCGAAGAAGTAACCGGTGCTCTGAGCGGCTACGTTGGAAAATAAATGATACAATGTTATGGAATTTTAATACTAATAAGCTCAATAATTGACATATAAAGTATATATTTATTTTCCGCAAAGATGACTGTGGCTAAGCAGATACGTCAAACTATCACACGGCCCATAACCTCAACAATTATATGAAATCATGTTCGGAACGTTTGTACACCATAAGAACCGAAATTAAAAGTTGTATTATCTTAGAAATTTAGTTTGAACTAGCTATTCTCCTCTCTCCTTTTAAAATTATCTTCCAACTAATTACATTGCCTATTTTGCCCTGTTTTTCAACCAAAAAAAAAAAACGAAAGAAAGAAAAAGAAAACAGCACCTTACCCAAACTTAGATAGGACATGGAAGATCTTGGATAGGACATACATGGTTTTCTTGACCATATTAACCAATTGGGTAGTATGAAGGATACCCAATCTGAAAACTTCCATGTCTAGATAGATGAGCATATCTTCCAAACAAGTCATAAAATAAAACCACAAGGAAAAGACCCCAAAAAAAAAAAACCCTTTAACAAACAATTCTCGAGTCAGGGTAGGGCGAACATCAGCCCTTTTCCAGCACCCCATATAGATATGAGAGGTTTTCCTTTTCCTAACGCCCCATAAATTCTAGCTGCACCCTCCCTGTCTAGGTTCTATCTGTTCATTTTTGCTTCTTATCAAGTGACCTCCTCTCATTATGCACCTATTGTTCAATACCATTGGCAACTCAAGGAAGACGATATCCACTTCTTTGATGAATCTAAAACTACACAATTCAACAGTCTTACAAGTTTTGATTGTATCTTGCAAAACATTGATGTAACCACTTATGAAGTAATCAAGTCCAACCATCAAATATGCAATAACCTCAACCAACCCACAAAATTTAAAACTCCTCATACGCTTGATGCCATTTCAATAGTTGATTATCAAAACTAAAAGTATGAAAGAAAATAACAATGAACTTATGAATATTTAGATACTTTCAAGAGATCATTACCTTGTTAACATGCGGTAAGGCTCTCGAAGGTCCTTCGTGACCAGATCATCAATCAATGTTCCTACAAAACTGCTTTCCCTCTCAAGAACAATGAGGGACTTGCCATCTGAATGTCTGGCAGCATTAATACCAGAAATAATGCCCTTCCGAAAAGAACCAGAAAGCAATCATTTTTTATAAACAATAACCAGAAAGCAAAAAATTCCTTTTAACCAAGTTAATTATGTTATGCAATACTTTCGAATGTACCATTACATCAACAACTATAGATAGATTGTATTCCACAATACATCAACTGAATAAAGGTAACCTAAATAATTACTTGTGCTGCAGCCTCTTCATAGCCTGTAGTTCCATTTATTTGACCAGAGAAGAAAAGCCCATCAATTTTCTTTGTCATAAGAGATCGAGAACATTGATGAGCAGGCAAGAAATCATACTCTACAGCATAAGCAGGCCTCAGCATTGAACAATTTTCAAGTCCAGGCAAAGTCCTCAAGAGTGGTAATTGTAGTCTCTCTGGTAAACCAGTTGAGAATCCCTGTGTGAGAAGGAAATGATGAATATAGGGAAAAAAAAGTTTAAACAAAGCATCTATGTGACACATATTATAAGACATTGATTATAAGTATCATCTGCTCATAGCAAATCTGGTAAAAATTTGGCAAAATTAGGAGATCTATATGCATTCAATTAGAGAAATATTGACATAAAAAATATATCACCGATATCATAAGTAGAAAGTGGGCACCAGTCATGCAGTTAATTTATTTATATTTATATTTATTTTTCTCCTTTTCATCTAAGAAGAAGATACCTGCACATAAAGCTCAGGCACATCTCGGCCCTCTGGTTCAAGAAATATTTGATGAGACTCTTTATCCTGAAAGCGAACAATCTAAACCAAAAAATAAGGCCAAAATTATATCAGTAAACTTCTCATAATGGGAAAAAAAATATATTACCAAGGAATCTTTTTATCAATGTTCAACAAGGGTATATTGAACAAGTGATGGCTTTGAAGGAAAATTGTTGGAAACCATGTTTGGCATATGTTATTTGACTTTGTCATCGTCCTTTATTAGTTTTTACAATTGTTTGATCCTTAGAAATATTTTAGTCAGTCTTGTAAATTTTTCAAATATAAATATACAGATTTGGGTAGCATGATATATATTGTTGCCGCCACCCAAAAAGGGGAAACTAAAGAGTTCCAAGATAACCAGAATGGCAACAACTAAATGCATTACCATATGAAAAATTTCACTCATTTATGGCCTCATTTCATAATGCTATTAAAGGAGGCTTTGAGAATCACTTGGTATATCCCTCTCCATTTCTCACCTCCTAAAGAATTGTAGTTCTAGCTATTGTATTAGTGAGAAATATCTTGTAGATTTCACTCCAGATGTCTAGTTACAGTAAAAGGCAGCTTAATCTTCTGCCCCTGGACACAGGTCTCACATAGAGACTTTAGTCTTTTTATTTTAAAATAAGAAACATGCCTTCATTAATCAAATATAAATAAATAAACAGTGCGAGACAAGGGGAAGGTCTCACATAGAGACTAAGCCATAAATTCTGTGTTGTCCTTGCTTCACTCGGTTCTTTATCATAGGTTTTAGTTGCAACAAAAACAAATATGTAAGTGTCTAAACTCGTAGTTCTTTTATGGTTTGAGTATACTTCGCTTGGTGGTGCAATTATGGTTTAAAGGGCCCACTTCATATAAAATGATTAGATGATTAACAGCAAAAATGTCTTTATGATATTAGTTCAATTTCAACTTACCTTATCCTCAATTGAAGGGCAATACCGGGGCCCCTTTGCCTCAACCCATCCTCCATAAGTGGGAGTTTCATGCAAGTTGTCTTTGATTAGTTGGTGAGTGACCTTTGTGGTACGTGTGAGATAGCAGCACATTTGTTCCCTTTCAATATGGAAATCAAGATCAAAACTAAACCAGCTGACCTGTTAACCATCAATTCAGATTTAGAACACAATTCTAAAAGCAACAAAACTGACACTTCTGGTTATTAACCGCCAAAATTGAAAAGTAAATGTTCTTGTTATCTTGCTCACAAGGATTAGAGTCCTCATTTGGGGGGTTTTTTTTGTGGGGGGGGGGGGGGGGGGGGGGGGGAGAGGGAGGGGGAGGGGGAGGGAGAGAGAGAGAGAGAGAGAGATCTCCTAAGTGTTCTCTAGTTTTTGGCAGATATGTTGTATATACCACATATTTGGGATGGCTTTGATTGTGCCTCATCTTGCTGGCCTGCTCTTTGATGTGTTATAAATCAGCATTATCTATCAGCTGAATCAGTTATGATTGTGCCTTACAGTCCATTTGCGCCTCCTGCATTTCCAGCAAGAAAACAATCATAAAATTGCACCTGCTAAAAGTCTGCCTTGAACCTTAAACACTTAATCTCATTATGCCTAGTCGACCACCAAAACTCAATAACACCCTATGTTCAAAATGTCTTTTCCCCAGATTTGCCACCAAAGAACCCCAATAAAGGAATTTCCATTACCCTGGAGACAGTTACTCATTTTTTATCCCATGTCAGATTAGAAACAGGTGTTAAATAACTCGCCTTCTAGATCTTGTTCTTTGATGTAACCAACGGCAATAGACTAAACTAGCAAATATTAAAATACTTAGAAACACACAAGAATTATACTGGTTCGGCAGAACTTTTGCCTACGTCCAGTTGTGATTTCTCTAGGTAGAGAAATCACCGCTCCTTTGATTAATAATAGAGATTACAGAACTTTTGCAACCCTAGAACTAATCTCAAAACTCTTGGTTGTCTCTGGCTGTTTTTCCTCTCTCAAAATAAGCCTTGCCACACCCTATTTATAGATATAGAGTTGGCTTACATGTCCCAACGCTGATTGGATTCCTATTCCTAAGTGGATTAGGAAATTACACTTATCCAAATCCTAATAGACTTCTAGAAATCCAAACCTAAATTGAATAAGGAAAACTGAAATTCTTTCCTAATCCCTCTAGGACAAGAATTGGTATACCTCTAATTTTCCTAAAACAATCCTAAACCAACTATGACATATTTGACAAGCCAAAATCCTAACAACAGGCCCTCTGGTTCCATGTAATGAGTCTCAAATCCAACAGAGATAGTTTTGCCTAGTCCAAGAGAAAGAACCGAATAGCCAAGTGTTTATCTTGGAACTTTCCATCCTTTGAAAGGCCAAGTAGGTGACCCACGTCCAATGCATGCCTTATATCATGTGGACACATAATGACATTAAAAATGTAGTTACTATCTACTTGCATGACAAGAGTATAAAGCACGATTTAGAATTATGAGTATTGCAAAACCAATATACTGAACCTACATATGGGATTAAATAGAAGGACCTCTTCATCTCCATGTTGTGGTTCCAATCCAGAAAAATCAACAGTGCGGCAGTCCACACGTGCTGGGGTTCCAGTCTTTAAGCGATCAGTTTCGAATCCAAGGTGCTGCAAGTTTTCAGTGAGTCCAAGTGAAGCTGATTCGCCAGCTCTTCCTGCAGGCATAGAAGTTCTACCAACCCAAATTTTACCACTCATAAATGTGCCCGTCGTGAGAATAACAGAAGGAGCATAGAAGTTCATCCCAAAAAATGTCTGTACACCTTCTACATTGTCATTTTTTCCTAATAAGATATCCGTCACCATTGCCTCTCTAATTGAAAGGTTTGGTGTGCTGGAAAACAAAGCAGATCAAACTAGTTAACAGACAGAAAGTAACAGCCGTACGAACAAAGATATGCAAGACGACAATAAGTGCAATAATTAAGAGTCTAAATCAGTTGTGATCATGAAAAGTATATAGCAGTCTTCAGTGTTATAATTATAACTATAAATCAGTCTTTAGTGTGATATTGACGGTTAAGATGCATCTCACCTACTCTCGCCCGTTGTACATATCAACCATCCATATGTGATCTAACAGCTGGGATGCAAGCCCTTAGTGGTCCCTAATTAGGTCCATATTAGATCGTTGTTCATGTAGTTATCTTTTTATTTCCCTTTTGGTTTTTTCTGATTTTTTTCCTTCCATAAGCTGTGGTTAAACGAACTACAAAATTAATTTAATGTAAAACAACTCAGGTGCTTCTACAATTTTTATGTAAAAGCTTCTACTGTTTGGCTGCAGTAGTTGGCTGTACTCAAGGAGAAATTTCAGGAGACAAAAGTTGTTTGCCAGTCTTTGAGGCAAGTACCTCCATGGTGGTGGGAATTTTGAGGAAAATATGATGATGATAGCACCACTATAATTGTATCATTATGCTGTCTAATACTTGATTAAATAGCCAAAATAATAGAGGAATTTCGAAATTTAGCCTAACAACAATAAGAGATGCAGATAAATCCGATGCTAATACATGCATTTACAGGAAAAAACTATTACATTTCAAAGCACAATAATCCAAAAAAGATACAATTCAAGCAATCATGATATAGAATTTGCAACACATCCACAAGAACCAGACCATGAAGTCGTCGTGCAGTAAACCACAGTATAAATTGTAATGAGACGCCCCAACTTTATCACTACTAAAAAAGACAGTAGAAATGCAGCGAGATTAAGCAATACGTGCCTCTCTACTATTTTCCTCATTTCCATAGCATATTCCCGTTTATCAGTCTGTGCACGCAATGCTCGAACAGCAGGGCCTCTTGAGGCATTGAGAACACGCTTTTGTAAATAGCACCTAAGCATAAAAAATGAAAATCAGGAACAGTTGCAAACGCTCAAGAGAACATGGGAGATTCTAAAGCTGAAACGGTAAGAACCAACAAAAAATTTAACAATTTAAAAGCTACTTGAAAAGCTAGACCAATAAAAAATTGGCATGTCCCTTAAATATTAGTCTTGCTTTTTCACCATGTAAATGTTTTAGCATTAACAAGAAAATTCTTACAGATTCATAGGCCAGATTTTGAATGTCATACCATAACAAGAATCAAAATCCATTAGGTCAATTTAACGTCCCGAATTATAGAGTATGTCAAAATGCCCTTGCGCTTCATGATTTAGCACATGCAAAAGCAGTCTCTAAAACAACTTTCGTTCACAAAGAAAAACACCAATTAACTGAGACAGTATCTAAAACATTTTCTTCTCCCCTAACGCAAGTACAATTGGACCTTTCACAAACATAGAGCTCCCAAAAGGCTTTCAAAATAAAAAAGCAATACTTTCCAACCCACCTGTATACCCCCGGACAATTGGTATTTTCTGATCATACTCCTATCTCAAAATACTTTTTTTTCTTTATTTATAAATACACTCGTTTTTCATCTCTGCAATCAACCTATGCTTGCAGTACGCAATTACCTACACCAACATTTAATTATTTTATACCATCCTTCTTAATGTATGCACCATTTGACCATTTGTATGATGTAAATACCATAAACCTGCTCATGCACCTACACAAATTATGCAATCTTATAATTCCCAAACTTACTAAGTTATTGAATGCCATTTTTATTGAATCAACTTCATCAAAATGATTCAGAAATCTGCTTAGAAACCAAAACATGAAAGAATCCAAATTATTTGAATATATATTTACAACAGAAGAATAAAAATAAACAAATAAATGGAGTGAAGTATCAATTCTAAATTTCTAATGTCCATCCTCAAAAGCAAAATCAAGAGCAAGCAACAAACATACTCCTCGAGATTTTCAGCAAAGAACATCCAAATATAGGAGATTCTATTACTTTACCGGTCAGAAATTTTTCCAATTTCACCGCCAAGGGCATCCACTTCATGTACAAGTTGCGACTTTGCTGGTCCACCTACTGCTGGGTTGCAAGGCTGCATCGAACACTTTTATTAAGAAGCGCTTTAAATTATCTGGGTCATGACTCTAAACACCCAAGCCCTTTTGCATGAAGTAATGCGATCACACCTCTATTTGTGTGAGAGCACATGAGAGAGAGAGAGAGAGAGAGAGAGAGAGAGAGAGAGAGAGAGAAATATAACATCAAATAGAAAGCTGAGGAGCTGCAGAATAAATAAGTTGGAATGCTGCATCACAGTTTGTGAGATTGACAAGTATTCTAAACATTTCATCTCATTAGATGAACTTTCTATCAGACCAAAAAATAGGAAAAAAAATTGGCGAACTTTCTGGCTGTAAATCATTAAATTTTACAGCTGTTCATTTGAGTGGAATTATGAGTTAAGAATCCAAAATGAAAATTGATTTCACATATCTAACTTTGAGAAATACAATAAAAGTCCTAAATAAAATATCGAAATTAAGAAGTTATCAAGAAAATCCAGAATTAAACCTGCCATGCAATCCTATCAATATTTAGTGTCAGTAGAAGAGTTTTTGCCCCTAGACGAGCAGATGCTAGGGCAGCTTCACAGCCTGCATGTCCTCCTCCGACCACAATGACATCATATCTTTCATCAAGTATCCCATCACCACTCAGGCCTGTGAAGTGGGAAACAACATAGTAATTGAATTTAACCTTTAGTACACATACTTATAATTCCTAAATTTGTGAATGGGAAAAAAGGCCAACTGAAAGTTCAAAAGACAGGGGCAACGTAAAAATCACACATGTTATAGTTTTAAACTTCTAATATCAACAGAAATATCGAAGGATCAGAAAGTTTTTCCTTGAGATTCAGGGAGAACGACTCTTGGTTTTGCACTCCAACTAAACAATATGTATTCTTTTAGAAGTAGAATATTTGTTTTATAGGTCTATCAGTTTGGAGCTTAATGAGAGGTAGTTATTCTGATTCATAGAAAGATACAATAGCTCATAATATATATAAATATTCCGATTCAATAAAAGATAAAATAGCTCATAATATATAAATAGTTAGAAGTTAGATCAGATGAAGATAAGAAAGGTTGGTAGATTGGAAAGGAAAAATGGAAATACAAGAAGAGGCTAGGTACAAATTAGATGAACTCTCCTCTCCAGTTTATTATGTGAATGCTATTCCAAAAGAAGTGGTGCAAAGTCGAGAACAAATAAATAGAAGCAAAACAAAGACTGCTCATACAGATAAAAATTCCTGTAAACCATATGTTCCAAAACCACTTCATGCTGTGTGTTTAAAACATCCTACTGCTTATTTGTTGAACTTAATGGGAAGGCTTACTGGTACTCCATACAGAAGCTTAAGGAGAAAAGTTAGTAAAATTTTCAAATTGGCTCTCAAATGACAACCAGACTTAGTATTTTAGAATCCTTCTTCTAATTCTCATCACATCACTCTTCCTTTTTTTCAAAAATTTTGTTACGGTCCACACTTTAATACTTCCATCACAAAGAAGGAAGTTCCTGATTGGTCGTTTGCAGATGCATGATTGTGTTGACATCACCAGCTTGTTTGGATTATGCAGTCCAAGCTGCCCCAAATTAACACACTAAAAAGAAATAATACAGAGTACCCTAACTGAAATTAACAGAGTGTCACGACCCGACTCCCCTAGCAAGATATTGTCCGCTTTGGGCCTCCCGCCTCACGGTTTTGTTCTTGGGCTCAAGCTAATGCTATCTTGCCCAAAAGGCCTCTTGCTAGGAAGAGAAGTGCCCACACATATAAGGCACTTCACCTTTCCCTCCCCAAGCGATGTGGGATTGCTCACCGTTCTTGTTTCCCCAAGACACGTGTCTTACACAAAGCTGCCCTCCCATCTAAATAAATATCAGAAAAGGAAAGATCCTTGAATTCTGCCGTAACTGAAGCCCAAAGAGCTGCTCCAAATTTTACTTTCCCCAGAGCTCGTCCCCTTAACTGCCTTATGTGTGTGTGTGTGTGTGTGTGTGTATTTACATCTCTAGCTCTTCAACGTAACGGAGGATTTGTCATACACATTCCACTGCGCAAGTGATCACTGAACATGAACCAGTCATTATAGTCGTGTATGTACCCTTACGTTTAATCCAAAAAGGTATCAACACCAGAGGAAAGATTCAAACTTATATAAGCAGCACATACACTCCAGTCCAGCAGACGGAGGACTTGAAAGCTATAGTAGTGCTATCTGGATAACCTATTAGAATAAGATTCAAGGCGTTCATGACAAGTAAGCATATTTTTCTGCTTTACAAAGGACCCCAATAACGAGAAAGGGAAAAAATTTACAAATTTTTAAAAATAATAATAAAAACCCTTTGGAGAACTTTCTACTCTTTCCTACATTTTTGTTCAGCAAACAAACCGAGCATATCACATAATCTTCAACAAAACCAAAGAGAGACAACAAGAAGTTCATAAAGACGCTATACTTTGCAACTAAACGTCACTAATTCTCCAATTTGGACAATATTTTTCCATTGGAAAGAGAATGTAGCAAGTAAAACTGCATCAAAACACTCCACAACAACACATATGACCTGTTCGGCAAAATTCCTCACAGATACAGATAAAGAAGCAAGAAATATGACTAGAGCTGTACCTAGAGAGGTTGAGGCGGCAACGGAGAACCGGCGGGAGAGGTTGCAGGGGAAGAAGGGACTGCGGCGGAAGGGCAGGTCACGCGGCTTGGGAAGGAGACGAGCACAAGGAAAGAGAAGAGGTGTTAGGAGAGGGGAAGAAGAGAAGGGGAGGTGGCGGGCGAGGCGAGAGAGATGAAGAACCGTTAGCGCTGGTGTTGTTGCCATTGGCTATTGCTCAGTCTCTCTCAGTCGTCAAGTTTAGAGAGCTTTCCTTTGCTCTTTTTTTTTTTTTTTTTACCGGTGCAGGCGGAAAATCTATAAAAACAATGTGAGCCGTTGTCAAATCTAGTGATGGCATAAATTCCGGTCCGGCCGGCTCCGGACCCTAAGTGGGGAGAGTTTGGGAGAAAATTATGGGCAGGAACGGGATTCTTAAATTGTAAAAATTCCCGGTTGGGGACTGGCCAGAGATGGTATTGTTATCCATATCCCCATACCCAGCCCAATAAGTAGTATGTTTATTTTTAATTAATATAATATGATTATGATATAAGGACATCCCCAATAGTAGAGGCTCTAAAACAGGTTAATAGAGCCTCATTTAGAACTCTGATGAAATCTTTGATATAATTTGATATAACTATTACAAAATATCACTTTCACAACAGGTGGACTCTATATCTTGAGCTCTATATTTTGCTATAATTTTATATACGTGTTATTTTTATAATATAAAATTTATTTTGCTTTAATGTATATTATGATATGTTAATTTTTTGTGTGTGAACTGTTTGGGCCTAAATTGGCATACCCAACATAAGGAAAGAAAAGCTCATCTCAGTTTTGGAAGCCACCAAACACCTCTTTGAAATTGGGCCATAAATACACATTCAGCCCAAAAACAGTGAAAGCCCCAGCCCAACATCAAAGAACCCAGCCTTTAGTTTTTTTTTAAAAAGGGGGGGCCCAAGTCCTTTTTGCAAAGAAAAAAACCCACTAGCGCAGAATCAAAATATCAGAGACTTGATTAAAAACCTATTCTTTCAAAGAATCCACGTGACCATCAGAAATGGAGAAGTCAACAAATTCAACTATCACAGAGTTGATTGGAAATTTCAAAAGAAAAAGACAGTGGCTGGCAAACTAGGAAGAGACATTTCTGAAAATCTGTCAGCCAAAGATCAAAATCCCTCTTATATATTCAAAGATATTGTTTCCACTCCAGAGAGGCACTATCTTTTAAGGGATACACACGCTATGTTTTCAAAAAGGAGATAAGCAGGAAAGAGGGGATTTGTTCAAAACTGAAAAAATCAAACTAACCATCACGATTGAAATCACACAAAGGGCAGTTAAATTGGGAAAAGTAATTAGGCTTTCTCTTAAAAATAGGGAAGTGATCTCTAAAGATTGATTGATGAAAGCCTATCTGCCAGAATTTAATTAAAAATCTTCCCTCTCTTATACCTCTTTGTAGATCTTTGAGAAGACTTGCCGCCCATTATTTTAAAAGAAAGAAAACTCTACCCCTATGCTCTTTTTTATATAAATACAAGAGAGAGTGAACAGAGCAAAACACAATCAATCTTACACTCAATTCATTAATCAAACAAACAACTCAAAAATCAACCAAAAGCTCACTTGAACTCCAAAAAAAACCAGCTTTAGATAAGATTTCTCAAAGTTCAGACTTAACTACTCAAAACGAGATCTCTCTCGTTACAAATTTGGTTCAGCAAAGCCAAAACAAGCAGAGTTTGAGTTTTCCCAAATAAGAAAACCTCAACAAATCTCATAGTGTAGTCTCTAGCTCACTAAATCCTCAAGAATAGCCACTTCTGCCCATTCAAACTGAAGAAGCTGCAGTTCTACCCACTCAAAAGCCTCCCAAAGCTTGAAGTAGATTAAAGCTCTGCCAAACTTGAACTTTGGTATCGATTTGTAGATGAAGCTTAGCAGTTGAAGTTGTTGACTGTTCAGTCCAGCCCAGACATATCCAGTCCAGCCCGGATCAGAGTCTTCTATCCAGACAAAGATGGAGTTCCAGTTGTCTTTTTGTCTTTCCAATGTTGACATGTATATTTATAGTTTTGTAAATGGCAGTTCTGCCTAAAGCAGTCCAATTTCTATCAACTATTCTGGGCAGAACAGCCGTTTTTATACTGAGATAAATTGCGAAAGTCCTCACCAGTCTGAGGCAAGAAAATAACTTACTTAGGAGATATTCCTCACCCAAATTCACAATTGTTTGTTTTAGAAATCAGTAACTTGGGGCGCAAGTTATCTATTCTAGAAGAAATCTGCTAGAATCTTCATTGCTAGCAGTGGCACGCTCATACACCAAAGAAAGCCGTCTTGTTGACCAGTCAATGGTTTCCAAGGCAGTGGGGAACTTTGCCCTTCCATCTCAGGAGCAAACACAAAACGGGGTGAATAATTTGGCACGCCCAGTGGGACTTCTCAGTATACATGCTTTGACAGATAACTTCTCAAGTTTATGAATATTGGAAGCTCTAGCTAGAACCCGCACCACGATATGGAGATAAATAAAAAATAAACTAAAGAGGAAACATCCATTGGTCAACAAGTGAGTATGAGGAGCTGCAGTCACAAGGCAAGTGACCAACAACACACATGGGATGCTTGAGTTCCAAATCTTGCTTCCCTTGGATGAGCTCTCACCAAATTCAATCAAGGGATGCAACCTCCAAATTCACCACACTAAAGCTTGGAAGGATGAGATTACAAAGGAGGCTTGAGTGTGCTAGCACAACCCCCTAGTAATGGCTGGCCATTTTGTATACAAAGGGAAGACCTTGATTTTATCTCTTCCTCTTGCCTCGTACAAAGTGAAACCCTAAAGAACCCTAAGTCAGAGCTTGGCTTATATAGCCTTGTTACTTAAATTGGGTATCACATGACCTCATTTCCCATGAGTTGGGTCAAACCGAATACCCACATGGTGTGGCGGGCCCTCTTATGTTTCTTGGACTTGTTGGGCTTCTCAATTTAAGTTGTCATATACAACTTAACTTTAGATGCTCAAATGGGTCCAAACCCGATAGGCCTTGGAACCCGGTTTATATTTAATGCTCATTTCATTGAGGATGGGATGAGGCTATTCAGATTATTACCACCGACTGCAAAAGACTCTCATCTGGTATAGTTCCTGCCACAATGTCACAATCGTTGCATGTTTAATGTTGTATGAATTTATGTACTTGTTCATGACTTTTAGTATAAAATGTAACACTCATAATATTAATTAATACAACAATTTTTACACAAAAATCTCTAAAAAGTTTTGTGTTTGAAACAATTTAAGAATTCGGGCCGTAATTTGGGGATGAAAATATATGGTTTACAAAATGTCAAATTCCCTTGAGCAAATCACGTTTTTGTTTGCATGTCTTTATATCTCTTCTTTTTTTTCTTCTTACTTTGGTTAACCTTAGATTTGAACATATTGACTGTAAACCTTGATTGTAAACCTTGCTATTCGATTCTAATGAAATTTCTTCTTACTTTAGTTAACCTTAGATTTGAACATATTAACTGTAAACCTTGATTGTTAACCTTAGATAGAACGTTTATTAGGCAAGTCAATATGTTATATTCTTGATTGTAAACCTTGCTATTTGATTCTAATGAATTTTCTAGCTATTTTGACCCCAAAAAAAAATTGTTATATTCATGATTAATTATCTCCCTCATTTACTAAAATACGAAATAGTTAAATAACGATAAATTATGCAACCAAAATAAAAGAGAGAAATCATAATTGGATCAACATAATGAAATATTAATTACCCGTCAAATTGTTGTCGTCAAGGGATATCACCTTCATCATTGTTAAGTTCCCAATATTTTTTGGTATGTTTCCACTGAAATTGTTTTCCGCCAAATATAGTATAAGAAGCTCTCTGCATTGCCATAATTTGGATGGAAGTGGACCATCAAATTGGTTGCGACCCAAATCCAACTTTTGAAGACTAGGAAGATGTTGGCATATATTGTCTGGAAGACCACCACTCAAGCTGTTTCCATATAGAGCCAACGTGGTCAAAGAAGACATGTTGAAAACAACTACAGGAACAAAGCCTTTTAGGGCATTGTACGGCACATATAACTCTTCCACATGATCTAAAAAGCCAATCTCTTTTGGAATTTCTGAAGAATCATTAAGATATATGCACATTTATATGTTAAATTCATGTTTAATGCACATATAATGCACGGCAACAAAAGCCGAGTCATATATAACTGTTTCACATCAAGGCATTGCGACAAATATATGTACCATTGAAGTTGTTGGAGTCAAGGTATATCTTCTTCAACATTGTTAAGTTCCTTATTTCTTTGGGTATTGCACCTGTTAAGTATGTCAAACAAAGACTCAGAATACATGTAAATAAATGAAATTAGAAAAACACCACATTACATAATTTATAGAAAAGTTGTTAGAGTGGATATTTTGGAGGGGAAAAAAACTCTCAACTAGTCACTTGGTCACTTTCTAAGTGGTTTATATTAGTATGTTACAATTTTTTCACTTGAAGGTACAATATGGAATTTTTCTATAATATTAGATTTGAAGGGTGTTTTTTTATATTTATAAAATATCATGTTATAATGGGCCTCCATATGAAAAAGGTCCTAAATATTCCCTATTATTTACAATCTATCATCTATGTCTTTATCACCCGACTCCCAACCAGTCTTATCATTTGTAGCCTACAACATGTAGTCACTAGTTTCATAAATGTAAGTTTTGTAAACACTTTCTGAGTATATAATAAATAAATAAAACCAACATTATAGACTCAACCATTCTTAAAATTAAGAACCGAATACATAATCTATTAAAGTGTAAGTTTTCATAAATGTAAGTGATTAAAATTTAGACTAATTTTCTAAAGGAAAAAAAACACATTAGGCTTATAGATTAATAACAAGATGTTGAAACATAATGATAGATCAACAATATAGTCTAGATACCTTGTTGACACATACGTACCTGATAGTTTGTTAACGCTTAGATCTATGTTTTGCAATGTAGACAAGTTGAAGATAGTCAAAGGTATAGTATCTGAAAACTGATTTCCATACAAATTCAATATTTGAAGTTTGGGGAAGGACCCAAACCACGATGGAATGGATCCCATAAAATTGTTGAATCCGAAGCTAATCAACTTCAGGCGACGCAAATAAGACAATTCACGGGGCAAACTACCATGGAAGCTGTTATTTCTAAAGATTAATGTAACAAGGAATGAGAGGTTGCCTAAGTGTGGTGGAATGGTGCATGTGAAACTCATATACGAGAGATTCAATGATGCTACTCTGCGGTGGCGTGCACCACAAATAATGCCAACCCAGTTGCAGGCGGAGGTGGTGGTTGACCAGTTGACCAAGATGTTGTGAGGATCACTAGTGATA